TACTCGGAGGAAGGATATGTTACCGATGGCAACTACCCACTTCCAGAGTGCTGGGGCCAGTTTCAAGCAGGCAACTGTGTCACCTTGAGCCGTTGGAAATGCACAGTTTCATGCCACTGTGAATCACTTTGTAGCATCGTTCAAGGAAACATTTCTCCAAGAAAAGCTGTGAGCCCAGCTGGGTAACAGAGAGATGTTGCCTGCTCACTTCTGTCACAGGAGCTGGACCAGCTCTGCAATGCTCTGTTTGTCCAAGTGGAGCTGCTGAAAATCCAGGTGGGATGAGCAGCAGGTGGAAGCTAGGACAATACATAAAATCAGATGGTGACTTTGCAGCCCATTTAAAGTAGTGCTCACATAATTTCTCAACTCTGGCTGCTTGTTATTATCCAATGTTCTGAGCTGCATGCAAAGCCAGCAATAAACTTCATCACTAAATCTCATTTCTTTCTAGAGAGAGAACTAGAAAATTGTCCCAAGACAGAGTATATCTGCACCAGGAAGGTGACTCACCTGCATCAGTCCTGCTTGTTTCTGAAGTGCTGTTGGAAATCTTCCTGGGATGCAACAAGTAGAAAGAGGCATGAAGGAGCTCAGAAAGACAATGGGCAGTCCTTGGTTGCACACAGGGATGAAGGTAGCTGACCATACTGTAAGGGCAAGACAGTTGCTGTTCATGGAAGTTAGAAATCACACTGGGTTATGCCCTTTGAAACACGATGCCCATTGCTTACAACTGTCAGCCTATATTACAGTCAAACCCCTAAGAAAGACACCATGCTAAAAGGGAGCACCTGCACACAGACTCAGTTCACACTGCCTTTCAGTCAGAACATGCAAAAGGGACAACCAATGCCTGTGGCTGAGGTTTTTCATCCCGGTGAGCCCTAAGCCCTGACAGTCTTTAATATGTGACATAACACAAACACCAATGGTGCCCCCAAGGCTTAGCATCATGATCCACTGCAAACCAAACAGGCTGTCAGTGAGATGGAGGGAGCAGGAATCACAAATGGGATAAAGCCAAAGCAATTACTTTATTTTGGAAACAAGTAAATGCTTAAAAGAAATAAGAATGAGGAAAGTTGCCCTGAGCTTGTTCAGTGTTTTATTTCCAAGTCCCTTTGTGCTCCTGAAACACCTTTGGGCACCTGAAATTCCACTCTGATTACAGCTACCATCTCCTTAGGTCATATCCTTGTTCCTGAAAGAAAAATCCCATGGGATTGACAGATTGCTGTGAGAAAGAGATCCCCTTCTCATCTGCTCTTCAAAAGCAACCATGACCAACCAACCTGCACATCTACAGAACATTCAGTCAGATTTAAAGTCTCCATTTCCATCAAACACTTCTTCAGTTCCCAGAGCTGCAGCAATCCAGATGGGTCAGACACTCACAGGACACCCTCCAGGACAGGTGCCAGCTATCTGCTTCTGCTGCATCTAAGACAGCTCTATCTGAGTTCCTCACTAAGGCTCAACAACAAATATACTGAAAGCAGTAAGCAAAATTGTTTAGAATTCCTGTTTTCACCCTAGATTCTTGGAGGAATTTGGAGAATCACCCGGCGAAATCACATAGTTGGCAATAGAAAAAATATCTCCTAAGATATATACAGCATTTGGACGCAGCACCAACACAAATTCAACTATTAGAGATGACAAGTGACCATGGAATCCTCATCTCCTACCTCCCCATTTCCATTTTTACCTCCTGATGACTTTTGTCACGGACTCCTGTTTCCGTCTAAAAATCATTGTCATAGCCTATTTTACGGGGGGGGGGGGAGCATGAACTGCCGAGCTGAGAAGCTATAGCAGGCGTACAGGTGAGCAGAGCCTTTCTCCTGGGTGGAAGGGAAGCCGAGAGGATGCAGCAGCCGCGCAGCCCCGCGCAGCAGAGCGGCAGTGTCGCCCGCTGGTCGCTCGCAGCATTGCCAGTGCTCCGGCCACAGCATCCTTCCTGCTCCCTGCACTCTCCACATCCCTCCCTGCTCTCACTTTCGGTAACACGGGGAATTGGCAACCCTGAAGGTTCACCAACACAAAACCCCTCTGCTGAGGAGCAGGCCAGGGTATCACGGTACAACAAACCCAGGCGACCTGCGAGCACAGCCCATCCCACAGGGATGCAGGTAGAACCACACAATCCAGATGAAATCTCACATCCTTATCTTCTCTTTCTGTTTCCACCCTGCCCAGTTTTCACCCTCTGCAAATATAAATCCCAACGGTAATTAATAACTTCC